GGGGCAACTTCCCCCTTCTCCGCCCCCCCAGCTCTGGGCTCGAGGGTTCGCTCACCCGCCGACCGGAAGCAGGAAGTGAAAGGGAGCCAACTTCCGGCTTGATCCCGCCTTTCACTGGTATTCCCAAACGGACGTAGAGGCGGAGGGAGGATTTATGTCGTCCCTTCCTGGCAGAAAACCCCGCCTGTGCCTTCTGGGAATGGGACTTCGGGGTTTATTGGGGCAGAGGGAAACCGGGGAAAAAAAAAAAAACACCGAAAAATTGATCTTGTACTGCGCTCAGACATACACGCGTACGAACGCTATTATTAGCGCTAATATTGATATTTACTATTAACCATTAGTCTTGACACTAATGCTATTAGTATAGAAAAGAATAGAGAAATGTATGGGTGCGACTGGATAGCTGGGAATCCACGTAGATGGCAAAAATGTGGGAGATGTGCTTTCTAAACAGGACGGCTTTTTATTTTCTTAATCTATTATGAAACTGGCCCGCTGCCCGGCCCCCAGCGACAAACGCAGCGAAGCCAAGACCGCGAAGAATTTTCCTCCAGATTTCATTCCGCTCTGCGCTCTCTCCTATATTGTAAAGTCCCTCATCCCGGGTATGTAGGGCTACAAAAGCCCAGGATGTAAACCAGCATTTCTCAACCTCGCCAACTTTGAGATGTGTAGACCTCAACTCCCAGAATTCCCCTGCCAGCGCCTGAACCTGGGACTGTGGCTCCTGAAACATGCCGGGAGTCGGAAATCATAGGAGTCATCGTTCAGCTGGCCAGTCTAGTCCTTCTTGAGTGCATTTTTAAAGGAGAAAACAATGTACCTGGGAATGACATCGCAACGTAACGCAATGTGTTGCCAGGCTTCTAACTGGCATTCCATCACTACTACAAATGATTACTACTTCAGTGTTTCTCAACCTCATCAACTTTAAGATGTGTGGACTTCAACTCCCAGAATTCCCCAGCCAGCCATGCTGGCTGGGGAATTCTGGGAGTTGAAGTCCACACATCTTAAAGTTGAGGTTGAGAAACAGAGATCTAAAACTCTTGGCAGCCATCTCGTGGTCGTCCTGATTTTTGTAGCCCTAATTATGGCTAAAAGAATCTAAGCAGCTATGCAACTCAGTAAATATTTCCTCCTTCCCATGGCTAATAAAGAAAACTCTTTAATGACTGTCCATTCTCTTCCACTCCTTTTCACAAACCCCAAATCGCCACGCTTGCAGCTCCCTCTTTTGGGGCAAGAAGAGAAAAGACTCGGTGAACTACCACAACTGTGAGATCCACAAAGCTAAACGTCTCGTTGTTTCGATTAACATTTTTTTTTCCTGTCGCCTAGCCGGGGAAAAAGGAAGGCAAACTGAACCAGGAAGTGAACCACCGTCTTCTACCTCTACACGCTTTTACCTCTATAAGCCCAAGCGGCATCCTCTGCGGAGGTCGGGAGAGTCAGCGCATGCGCCGAGCGAGGCGCTGGGCGGAGAGAGGGACGTGAAGGGCGGGGAGATCACGTGCGACTATTTAATTCCGAAGACTTCCGGGAAGGGAGGTGTATACATGACCAGCCGCTGCAGGGAGTAGTTACTGCTGGTGGAAGATGCCCCACCCAGTAAAATGCCACTTTTGGTGGAACGCGAGGCGGGGATGGGGTTTGTGAGTAAGCCTTGTTGGTCCTAGAGGGGCCTTCATCCCAGCAAGCCTTCATGGAATCCTGCTCAGCCCAATAAGTCCTGAATCTTCAGTCATTCTCGTTACATTTGTCCAACGTTTATTTTAAACTCTGCGCAGTATTGCAAACAATACTCAGGGATTATCTGTGGACTTTCACTCTAAAACATATAAATGAAAATAATGCATACACAAAAGGTTGCTCTGTCCCCACTCCCTTTCTAAAATAATTGAGCTGTGGTTCACATGAGAAATTTAATATTCTGCGCTTAATTCGAGTAACAAGGACAATCCTATTCAGCAAATTCTTCCACCAATTCATTTGCAGTTGATCTTCAAAGGCCTTCAGATTCAGGAGGAGTAACAGATGGTGGAGGAGTTTGGGAGGCAATGTAACATGTTTTGGGATGGGTGACTTTTTTTTTTCTTTTTTCCTAAAACTATGTTAAACCTGTTTTTGACAACTGTGGTCAGAGTAGCTCTGGGGGCTATGAGAAAAGATTTGGGGATTGCATGTTGCCCATTCCTACCCTAAAATGTTGGTGGCAAAAACATCTAGAGCTTACATTTGGAAAGGCTGGCTATGTGATAGTGAAAATGTCTGTAAAGGCTACTATACAGCAGTGTAAGGTAGTCAGTGACATGTATCTTTAAACCTTGGTCTTTTATTTTCTTGGCTTTTTTCCCCTATCAATGCATTTACAGTTCAACCTGAAGAACAATGGAAGAATAGTTAATAACCATGCACATATCTTTTCAAAACTTTGCTTTGTCTCTGCAAAGAAAATCAGCGCAATGCAATTTATTGAGCTTTTTTTAACTGCTAACAGCAAACATTAAATTAACCAAACTAAACAGCCTGTTGCAATTAGAGCAGCAGAGGTCAACCTGGAAAAAGAGTCATTTGTAGGATTTGTAGGATTTGATGAAAGGCACAGTGCAGCAACAACACTTTTCCTTTTTTTTTAATTAAGAAAAGACATCAAATAAGCAAGCTTTTCAAAACATTATTTAGCAAGAGTTGGCAAGGATTATTTATTGCTGGGTCATCCCTGCTCCCCATCCTTTCTCCTGCCAATTCAATGGCTTGAGATTAAAAGGCATTGCAACAGAACCTATTTTTCTCTACTTCTGAATATCATAGCTTAAGGTTTTCCTAACTGCATTTATCTTTGCATGTTATATTTTGCTCTAATCTGTACATGCACCTGGCTATTTTCAGTCACTCTGCTCTCTATTTCCATCTTATTTTAAAGATAAGGAAAGAGCTAAAAAATATACGGTCCCACCTCCTTTCTCTCTCAGGTGGATCTAACCTGGTAGACTGTGCTATCTTCCATCACTTTCAATACCTGAGGAATCACCTGTAATGGGTAGTCAAAGTCCTGTACTGTAATGCATCTTCCTTTTCATTTTTGGCACACTTCTACAGATGAAAATCTAACCCTGTTAACACAGAGTGACTACAGAAAACTATTCTTAACCCTTGAAATGCTTTTTCACACTCAGGAGTCCAGTGAACTTTATGAGGCTCACTGTTCTCACTTAAGTCTGGGAAGTGTTCTCCTTTGATAAAAAAAAAATGAGATAAAAACTGTCTTGGAAGTTCATTTCCAGGAATGATCTTTATTCTTGGTGGCTGGAGGCTGCATCTGTTGAATAGCTTGCACTTTCTGGCTTCTTGCTGACTAAGTGTGTATTCCAGGTGACATAGTTCAGAAAAATCCCATGTGACCTTTAGCTGAATCAATGATTAAGCCCACTGCTTCAAGACTAGAAATAATATCCTATAATTATTGCACATTTTCTTCCTGGGTAGTGCTGCAGGTAATGATTTCATCTAGTTAGGCTTCACAATGCTTTCCTCTATCCTCTGCCTATGAATCTTTGGAAAGTCACAGGGATCCAATACAACTGGGAGACATTTTTATAAATTAGACTAGTCCTTGTGGAATAGCAAAAGTTGTTTCCTCTTTGGATATTTCCTCGAGAAATATTTGCCAGTAGCCCTTACTTAAATCCAAAGTAGTTACCGTAAGTATTTTGTCTCACTTAACTGATCTAACAGATCATTTATTCCTGGCACAGGATAACTAACAAAGATGGTTGCTTCATTGAGACATCTTAACTTCACACAAAATCTAACTTCTCCATTAGGTTTAGAAACTAACACTGTAGATGAAGACCACTCACTGTGTGAAGGTTCAATAACATGTAATGTTTTGCATTTTTTTCTCCAGTATGTCTCTGCCTCTTTCTGGAATACAGTAAGGCTTCTGCTATATTGGGTTTGCCTCTCTAGTGTCTGTTTTTGTGGTCTTCCAATGTGGCACTACCTGACTTGCTTGTAAACCCTTCTTGGAATTCTTTAAAGAGTGTTTCTAGATCTGCTTTCTTTGAGAAGGTGAGCTTGGATTTATGTGTGTCTCTGGGAATGTGTCTGACAAATGGTTATACACTTGCTCTGCTAAGTCTTCTGATCTATGAGCTCCCAACACTAGAGCTGGCTCTTTTCTCTCAACCTGCTTTCTCAAAATCTTTATGTGATACTTTGGTGTTACTACCCTCCAAATCTATTTTGTAGGGGTCAGCTCCATGTTCTGGAGTACAGTAGATGGATCTTGTTACTTTATCTCCCTCTTCTAGAGATTTTTTTTCTCTGGCTGTTTTATCAGGCCAATGTTTCTATCTGTCTTGTGCTAGTTTCAGGTGTCCTTGGACCACGTTACTGAGCTTTCACAACATCTCCCTTTGCAGGAGAACATAGTCAGTTAAGTTCTTTGGACCTGGAACTTCACTGGTCCAGCTTTCCCCACCTCATCCAACACACACCCTCCTTCTCCTGGCCTTCTTCCATACAGTAGCTCAGAAAGGCTGAACCCTGGGGAAGGGAATGGCTCTTCTCTACATGCAAAGAGTCTATAGGAAAGCCAAACATTTCAGTGCTTTGGAAAAGTTTGTGCATACTTATTAAACATGAATGTCAAAATTTAATCTAATCTCTTAGTTAATCCATCAGTTTGAGGATGACAAGGAAGAGTTAAGATCCAGGGTATCCCCATGTTTGCATATGAATGCTTCATAAAGCAGATTGGAAATTTGAGGCTTGATCTGTGAGTATTTGATTAGAGATATCCACCCTATTTCAGCATCCACTGGAAATTACTTTGGCAGTAATTATATGCAAGGGCATTGCCTCAAGGTATCTGCTTGCATAATCAGACGTCATTAGGATAGAGTAATTTCCTTTAGCTGACTTTGGCCCTTCCCCCTCCCACTTAGGAACATTTTCCTGAGAGAAACTACACTAAATCTTACTCTCAGTTTTTAATATCAGCTATCTAGCAGAAAACATTTGTTTGGAAGGCTGCATGGATATTTGAATAGCCAACAGAAAGCTATGGCAAATGCAGTCATAGCATCTATAGGTATAGCA